TTTGAGCTTGACCAAGGAGTGTTTGCTAAAGAATAACTTCCCTAGGGAACCTTTATCTGGAAGCAGGGAAGCGTTGGTAGGATGCATTTCCCTAGGGAAGCAGAGATCAGAGGGAGGGGACTTTTAAGGCATGCTGCCAAGGGAAGTGGGGTAGACTGGTATGCACAGGCTGCATTTCCTCAGGGGAGATACGTGTCATATGCAGGTATGCCTTCAAAGAGGACACCCGGGTGCAGGGCAACATGCACTCTTCTGATGAATTTCCCCCGGGAACCTTTGCAGAAAGGCAGACGCCAACAGGGGCTATTTCCCAGGGGATGGTTCCAGCTTGCAACTTATTTTCCTAATAAAAGCTGGTGGTGCAGGATCTTCCCCAAGCCCATATAAGCTAAAAATGCCAGGAACCATCAGCAGTTGGGGCTTTAGAGGCAGTAGGTCTGCAGACATCTCCCATTTTGCCTCAGCTCCCACTAAAAGTGAGAAGCCCCGGTCTGATGCAACCGCCCGGTCTCCAGGGCCGCCTTTAGGCACAAGCTAGACAAGAAATCTTTTACCACTCTGTTGATTCAGCAAATCACGATCCAGCCTTCCTCTCAGGAAGGAAAATTAAAGCAAACTCTCTCTCCAATCTCTGTGGCAGGAGCATACCAGACCCAGCGGTTGTGCTGAAAATCTGTCTGCAGCCCAACTTGCCTGGCAGCAACCTGTGGCTTTATGCTGTCCAGGGCTGCATGAAACAGGCGTCAAACGAGTGCCGGAGCGAAACATTTATTGGCACAGTTTCCCTGGCTGCATCCCCCGTCAGAGATCCTGAACCTCAGGGGAAGGGGCCGGCAGCTCTCACGCAGGTCTGATCTGCGCCATCCTGGCCGACGGCTTGTCCTTCCGTCAGTTCTTCCGCGTCTCGCTCCGATCCCTGCTCCGCCGCCGAGACACCCGCTCCCCGGACTCGGTCCTTTAAAAACCCCGGTGCAGCATGGCCCTCGTGCCTGCAATGTGTCTCCCCCCGCACCGCTCGCCAGGCTTGGCCGGAGGAGGCCTCCTGCCCCCACCCCGCCGCGCGGGCAGACGAGCCGCGGGTTTGATGGATTGCAAGTCTCCTCCGCCACGGTCAAAACAAAGGTCACGGCCTGAGGAAATTGCAAACAACTTTTGCCCACTGGCCCCGGAAGAATCGGTGAATTCGTGACAAGAGAGTGAACTTTTTACGATCCCTCGATGCTGGCAGGCTCTTACGAAAGGAATTTAAAAAAAGAAGCGGGCAGGAACATGTGGCTTCCTGGTGCTGGCGAGGGAGGAGGGGACAGCTCTGCCCGACAGGGAAGGAGTGAGGCTCCAGGTCCGGAGCGATCCCGTGGCCCCTTCTCACATCTTCCTGCTCTGGGGAAGCTTCTTCTGCCTCCTCTTGATGGGCAGGCACAGCACCTTCAGGACTCCAAATTTTAGGGGTTTTTAAACAATCCAGAACAAGTTTATAATGTTCACTAGTGCTCAGAAGACCCAAACACTTTCAGCATGCAAAGCAAGCCCAGCGTCATTCGCTATATGTGCAAATACATACACGTATGCGCACAAACACCCTCATCCACCACACTGCGCCTTCAGCCTGAGCAAGGCATTTTATCTCTCAACTTGGGACAATACCAAAATCTTGAAATGATTTTTTTTTCTAATGTATAGGCCTAAACAAGACATTTCTGTGAATACAAATAATTCATTTTAGCCTAAATCTGTGTCCTTTTGAGCTATCGTAAAGTCCTCAGCCCTTCTACGCTGAATGGTGTCTACCCTGACACGGTGGGGTGGCTAACCTCATAGCGTGACTCTGGGAACCCGTAAGCAAGGGGACTTTACTCACAAGGACGCCGAGGCGTAACTCTGCCCCCGTGATGCACTGCACGGCCCTCCCCCAAACCAGCCTCAGACGAAATCCTGACTATGGCCACACGCTCTGGTTTTGGTTCACATACTCGGCTCAAAAAAAAAAAAAAAAAGGTTTATATAGGTTTTCCTTTCATACTGTTCAAGATAGGAACTCTACCTGTAGGAATCTGTTCTTAGGGAAAAACACACGCACACACACACACAAAACCCCCACAATCCTCTCCCCAAAACTGCTGGGTGCCACGCACACTCCAATTCCCCCTTGCCATCCAGATACCCGAGCTTCATTACCTCTAGCAGAGCCCTCCTACAAATTCGGAGAGCGGGCAGGACGGGCAGACGTCCTGCGCTCGAGCTTTCCTGTGCTCAGCCAGGAGCAGGAGAAGACTGACTACAGTTTTCCAGGGACCTTGAGGAAGATCAGCCCCCCTTTAAGACACACTGGTACAGGTTTCTTCCACTAAGAGCCAGAACTCAGCTTTGGTTTTTCATTTCCCTGTAACATGTTGTTTTCTTACAGTGACGGAAACCAACCGGGCTGCCTGCAACGGCTGCCCGCGGTGCTGTAGTGTTTGCTTCCACACCCAAACTGGGCACTAAAACGATCCCCATTAAAATGGACCCATCCATCCCTTCCCAGTTCAAGCCTACATAGATGAGCCAGTTGCTCTGAAATCGCTGGACAAAAAAATGGAAATAACGTGGAGGTGAGAAACATCCCGGGGAAAAGGAGGCTAGAAATGAAGTCAACAGTTAGTTTAAGGCCTTGTTTTAAGAGCTCAGGAAAGCCCTTTCTTACCACAAAGGGGCAGTTTTCCCAAACCAGTGTGGGGGACGAGGGAGAGAAATGAGAATCGTGGACAGCAGAAACTGGAAAGAGAGGTGAAGAATACGGGGGACACGTGACCTAGCCTGACACTGCCTGCTATGCTCACGATAGCATCTTGTCAAGGTTAGGACGTGGCATTTCCTATAACACAGATAAGCTTTGTCTTTGCCTCAGCGGCCAAGGAGCTCCGAGAGCAGCAACTTCCAGCCCCTTTTCGGGGACTGGTTCCAATTAGTGTCAGCTCAGTTCAGCGCCGGTTTAGCCCGAGGATTAGAAATCTCCCCCTGCCGATCCCCTCTGACCCAAACGCTTCCTGGGACTGAAGGAGCGACCAAATTCCTCCCCTTCCTAAATTGGGGGAAGGGGGAAAACGTGACCGAGAGCAGCCCTTCGCTCGCCTCCGGGCAGGACTTACCTCACCCCCACCTCGGAGGAGCACACGTCTTCAGACTGCCTTTGTACGGCCGGAGCTTGCAGCCGTGCCCAGAAACTCCCGCCAGGCTCCTCGCCTCACTTACCTGGCCCGAGCAGCTGGAGGCAACGCAGAAGGCAGCTCTGACCGGCTGGTTGGCCCTTTTGGGGTGCTTGAGGTGTAAAGGGATAGCAGATCATGTCTCAGGGTCCTCCAAATGTCCTGGGGCAGGAAGATGTCAATACGCGCTCTCGCAGGCTTCACGCGGGACCTTTGCACATGAATTAAAAGTGCAGATCTAGTGGTGTAGTGAGTCATTCTCAGACCAAACCATTAGGGGTTGAAATCAGCTCGGAGGGAAACCTAGGGCTCCCTGAAACCCCTCCAGGGGCAGGGGTGGCAGAAAAGGCTCAGAGGAGTTAGGGATTTAGATCAAGTCTCGACCAATTCACTTACTTGAGCTTGTTTTCCCATCTTTATTACATGCCAAGGGGATGAACTCGCTGCTCAGGGCAGACAAGAGGGAAAGAAGAGCTGCAGGGACAGGATCGGGGCACTGGTTTGGCCAGCAAGCATAGGGCCCCCCATTGCCCATGCACGTTTTATACACCTCTCTTTTCAGAGGCATCTCAGGTGTCCAACAGCATGGTGAGCAAGCCAGGCTCGGGAGCAGCCCCCGGCCCCCATGGCGGCCCCCAGAGCCAGTGTGGGCAGATGGGCCCCGGTGGCATAAGCAGGCTACTCTGTGAAGCTGTTTTGGCAGGAAAAGAAGATGTGAGCAACAGCATCTGTTACCAGCCCCCAAGGAGACAGAGGGAGCCTTCACCAGCTACAGCTCAGGAGGAGAGGGAGGAGCTCGCAGTACACCGCCCCGCAGCCACCATGCCCCCTGCCTTCTGCCATGTCCCCTGCTTTCTCATTTGCTGGCACCATTTTATAAAGAAATCACACCAATTTTGTCCTGATGAAAAGTTGCTGGATCAGCAAAATGGAGCCAGTTAGCTATTCAGGAACCAGCCAAGCAAGGGCCAGGTGCAAGTTGCCCCCCACCCCTGCACACCTACGGCAGGTGCCTTTCCAAATCCAACAGTAAGGCCAGTTCCCAGCTTCAATGTCGAAACCGTTGTGAGAAAGTGCTATGTTGTCTCAAAAACGCCTGTCTGCTCAGAGGGCTGCAACCGCTGCCCCATTTCACATGGGAGATTTAACGAACAGCAAATGGCAACTGCCTCTTTGGGCCTGGTATGGGTTCAGACCATTGGACATGAGCTTGAAAGGCCTCCTAGTCCTCTGATGGCCCCTGAAGGCCTTTGTCCCTTACGCTGCCTAGCATTAAAACAGTACAAAAGGGAGCCAGTGAAGCTACTTTCAGTTCGTCCTTCATAGCAGCAGGACACTACGGCCTTTACGCAAGGGCAGTGATCCTTTTAAAAGCAAAGATAGGTTTCAGGTGAATGTGAGGGAAAGGACTACTTGAGCCCGAAGACTGAGCAGCGTTTTAGGGGGAGGCAGGTCTTCCAGCACACACAGCTGCAACTAGGCTGGGGAAAACTCATAGGACACTGGTGACACCATCTCATTCCCACTCAGTTGTTCATCTGCAGACAGCCACGCTTCAGAAGGGAGAGCGATCCCAATCAGTTTTCCAGTGCTCTCTGGTAAATGGTTTTCAGGTGGTACAACCGCATCTGACAGCAGCCCAGTGCTTTGTCTTTCCGAGGAAGACCTCTGCATTCCCTTCCCTCCCCTTTTCCGCTCCCCCCTTACAAAGGAAGAGGGAGACCATCCAGGAGACAAGAAATCACACATACAGCAAGGGTGATTGCTATTTTAAGAACGTACTTTATACAAAATAACCAATTCATATGGAAATAAAATCTACAGACCTCCAAGGATCAAGCTTTTAAAAAAGTTCTTTAAAAAAATTACCCAACACACAGTATTAAACTAACTATTGAGGTAACTGTCGCTCTTGGGGAACAAAGGTAATCAGCAGACCAAGACAAAATATACACAATATAAAAATAAATAGCATTCCCCTTTCCAGTATTGACCAGGAAAGTTCACACAACTTTGCAGCAGCAGCAGGAGAGAGAAGAGGATCCCTGACACTGTGCTCTACGGGATGGGGAGGGAGGCAGGGGCTACGGCCAGGGCTCCCGGGAGGAGGCTGGCGGCGGCGTGTGGTACTTCAGCCCCATCGCGGAGAGGAGCCCTATAGGGAGCAACTCCAGCGGGAGCTGTTTTTGCACTGAAAAATTCAGGCCACCAAATTTGACTTTTCCTTTACATGAGCGCTGAATGGCACGGGCAGTCCACCAGCTCTGCTGCTAACTGGGCTGAAGACAAGCAACATCAGCCCTCGAGCGCAACGTCCCACCACCCAACAAAACGCCACAGTGCAGAGCCCCGCGCAGGTCCAACTCCCCCCATGGAAAGATGCAGGCAGGGTTTTGTTTTCACAGCTTGGTGCGGGAGGTCTCTGCTGCAGCATCAGCTCGCTGGCCTGTTGCCCTGGGCTCGTTGCAATCAGATAGTTGCAATCAGTTGACTGAGGCTAGGCTTTCACCCGCGTGGCCGCTAGACTCCCTCCCCACCCAACAACAAAAAACACAGCAACAAAAGAGCAGCCTGACCCCAAAAGAGAAAGGCTCTGTTTTCTCCTTATGCCCCCGACAGACAGATTACATTCTTTACAAACTTACAATAATACAAAAAAACTCAACATCACCCAACTTCAGAAAAATGGATGTAGTGGCGTAGGCTCTCAAGCTACCTCCCCCATCAACGGCAAGTCAAACAGCAGTGGGTTGCTCTCCTCCCCCAAACACACAAAATTAGCGACGTACCTACCCCTTGCTCGACAGCAAGGCACTCCAGCACCAGGCACCCCTCTTCCATGTGCTCTGCTCTGAACCCAGGCTACGGACAAGGTCTGGCTCTTATCAACACACTTGCTTCCCTTTCTACCTTCCCGAAACACAGAACAAGTACCAGGTCTCTCCTGGCTACCTAAATCAACATATCAGCTGCTGGGAGAGCAGAAGCATGGCATAGTTGCACAGTTAAAACGCAGGGCCACAGCAAGTACCGTGCTTCCCACTCAAACTAGAGAGCCCCACAGCGTGTTTTACAACCACCCTCTCCCTGAAACTATAAAGGAAGGACAAAGTTGCACTGCTGCACATTATTATTGCTGAGAAAAATCAGTGTTCATCGATCTATCAAGAAAGAGCGATAACAGCTTTCAGGGTTGTACGCAGCACATATTTAACCTAAGCTGCCTTGGAGGTAGATGCACCGAGATCATGTGCCACAGCACTAGCACGGGAACGCTGTGCAGGGGCCAGGAGTGAGCCTTGTGCTGGCAGAGGGACAGGCATCGCCGCTCCAGGGTGGCAGACCCAGGGGCACACAGGACAGCACTGGTTAGCCATTGAGGACATCTTAATTTCACGAGGAGAGTAACATGTTCTCCCCATCCTCTTTCTACACGCATACGTAGAGGAGACAGCTGGCAAGTTCAACCTTTGGCCCTTCGGCTCATGTGGGCAGTGAGATTTCACCTCTGCATTTGACGGCAACTGACTGCAGCAAATCAAGCAGAGAGAAAGAAACTTGAAAATCAGGAAGCAAGGAAAGGGAAAACGTTGGTGCACGACACAAAAGGGAGCCCTTCCAGATTAAAAGTGGAGGCCCAAGCTCCTGTAGCCGTCTGCCTGCCTTCAGAAAGGGAGATCACTGCCCTGACATACTAAACAATGTTTGAATGCACTAGGTGCCTGCATGCCTCTCACCGATTTGAAGGCCAGAAGGGTCTGTAATGGCCATCTGGTCTAACCTTGTCCATAACAAGGGAATTTTGCCCACAGAGTCAGTTCCACCTTTATTTGAAAGATATTCCAATTACTACCCTTCTGCTAGCGAGCCACGTGTTTCAAAATAAAAAGGGCAAAGGACAGAGGGACTTGCTAGAACTGGTGACGATCCCAGGTAATCCTCAGACCCAATTAATCCTTCATCCTCTCTTCCACTGACGAATTTAGCTCTTGCTCTCTCCCGGATGCACTGTTCTTTTCTCTTTGACATCCACATTTCAAAAACAGGAAGACCTTTGCCAAAAGAAATCTAGGCCACTCTTGCAGAATAAGGAGAAAAAAACCTAAGTCGACACAAGGCCAGCAGTGTTAACTACAAAACACTCCACGGTTTCTCAAATACTGCATGTGAGAACAGCAGAGGCAGGACAGGTAACTGTCAAAGGGGTTTCAGCATCACACAGCTTGTTACACCTGTGCTTTTAAGGTATACTTGGATGCTATTTCCCAGTTTCAAATACAGACACCCTGTCCTGGCTTTCCTTGCTCTAGGGGTGGACTGAGCTTTGCTCTTGTCATCCAATAGCTCCTATTCAGAGACAGCTGGAAATGGATCTCCCTCCTCTCCTCCCAGCTCTTTTTCAGAGCAGTGGCCTGGAGACGGAGGTGGGCAGTGGCGAGTGAAAACCAGAATACTTAGTTCATTATGTGCTGGTTAAAAGCATTTTCCTTCCGCATGGGCGGCAGGGGTCCTGCCAAGCCAGAATGTGCTTTACCCCCATCTGTATGTTAAACAGGTACAGATGGGGAAAGGCTGGAAGGTCAACGTTTGAGATGCTTTCTCGGTTACAATAAGCACACGCTCTTAAAGGTTGTCACATGGTCTGCAGCTGCAACACTACTTTCATAGCCTGCTATCTCAAACTCGGCCTTACAGAAAGGATACAGCACTCACACACCTGCTGTTCAACCACTAGCACCAGACTTAAAGCAAAACAGGAATTCTGCAAGAACACCTTCTCTACCACCAAATGCACTGCAGTTAAAACTTTTTAATGGGGTAGCTCTTATTAAAAACAGACCCCGTTGCATCATTGCTATGCAATGAGAGGAACCGGTGGCAACTACACCGTTATGGAGTCTCCTGTTTTCTCCAAGCTACCCCTTGGGCTGGCGGTTCCTTGTCACTTAGTTGAGCACCTTCTCCAAAACTCCACAATGCATATCACAACACCAAGGCGTCTCCTCAGAAAACAAAAGCAGAACAAAGCTGACAAGAACAAAGCAATAACCCTGGCTGATCATAGAGATGTGCAGAAGACTGACTGAGATAAGTAGAGGAGAAAAATGAAGGTTGTTGTCTAACTATATTTTCATTTTAAGTGGAGAAGCGTTGGGGTGTAAAGAGAGAGAAGCTGCAGGAAAAGTGCCTCAGTCAGCAGAATGAGAGACAGCCTCCGTGACTAGCTTTCAGATAAGACTTTGAGAAGCTGATAGTTCTCCAAGACCCTGAGAAACCACACTTACAAAAATACACGCCAGAGATTTGTTTCAGAAAGTCTGCATGGGAAGGGCATTTGGCAGATCAGAAAGGATTAGAAGCTGTTCCAAGAAAAGTGTCTTCATATAGTTTAAAGTCACAAATCAAACAGTTGGGCCTTGAAACTTCAAATTTACTTTCCTCTTTCGTCCTCTTCATTGCAGACTGGTGTCTTGGATTGCTACTGAGTGGTTTGGTGGCTAACACCATGGAATTTATAAACTCCACGCTCCTGCCGGACACAGCTAAAAATCACTGTGAAGCCTCAGTTACTGGCCTTCTCAAAATACTTGGCTGAATTGCCAGGCCCTGTAGTGCTTATGATGCCCAACGCTACGAGAGTCCCATGGGAAGCTGATACAATGGCATTTATAATGACAATCCAGCATCTAGGGAGCTTGCAAACACACTATATACCACTTACAAAGGAGGAGGCAGTAGGGAGAACAAGCAGCTAAAAAGCCAGAGTAGGGCACAAAGCTTTTCTGAGAACATGAGAAACTTTTAGCATGCTTAAGCATGGACAGAATCTTATTTGTTCTACGTATTATATAGTCCTGTTCAACATGAAATCTGTAAAATTATAGCAAAACACATTCTCCATATAGGAAAAAGTAACAGCTACAAGAAATTTCCCAAGTCACTAGTTCACTATGCTTTCTGAAGAAGCACCAACTGGTTATATACTATATTACAACAATGCCGGGGGATGACAGGGAGGGGTTCCAATCACGGAGTGCAGAATTTCTCTGTACTCAGTTAAAACGTTACTTAAGACAGGGACAGAAGTCTTGACGATCAAGAGCCAAGATATTTTAAAATGCAGCTATGTTTTTCCTGCACTGTATAACAACCCATGGGAAAAGCACCACTCTGTACATACAGAGCTGCCATCTTACTCTCTTCTAAATCTCTCCTTAAACCTGTCTCTGTCACAGTATCTACAGATCAGTCCTGCACAGCATGGATTGGAAATCCATGAGCTGTAAAATTCAGTTTTTCTGCTTCTCTCTGTGCCTTTCTGTTGGCGCTCCATCTCAGCGACCCGTTCCCAGGCACTGTGAGCTCCCACTGTGAGGGGCAGGAATTTCTATGATTTGTTCAGATTGTACCTTGTGAGATGGAGCTCTTGCTTCTTGGGGGATTCCTAGATAGCATTGTTTAAAAAAAAAAAAAAAAAAAAAGGCAAGTGTTTTTGAACAAAGCATTTGAAAATCTGGAAACTCTGAGCTAAGATTCCACAAGCAGCAACTCCTATCCCTATAGCCCAGCCGTAGTTCCCCCTACCCTATATTAGTACTTTTCTGATATAAATCATGTGTCCTCACAATACAGCTTGTTAGTCACTGTAATGAGAATTACTAACTACATCAAAAGTCATCCACCCAGAAACCCTCCCAGGAGGAGTCAGCCTCACTACTCTGCGTTTTGTCTACCATCTACAAGTCAAAACCTTCTCCCAAATTTCCATTACGTCAAATAAAGGATATCTTCACCTCTCAACTCCGTATAGGATCCTCAGGATATCTATCACTATCTGGCACTCCACTACCCTCTCTTGGCCGACCACCAGCAATTCTTGCCTTTCTTACTCCTCCCCTGTTTTGATCTGGGGTTGATACTCATCCAGATACCATGACCATTAGAACCAAGGGCCAGTTCCAGACGAAGACCAAGAGTGCTGCAGCTTGTTTTTTTTTTTAGCTTCTAAAACTTCCCATTCCACAAAGTTCACAATAAGCTGAAAGGCACTTCAAATATTTGGGTAACTGTCTGTGATACAGAAGAGACAGGCTGATGTACGGCAGGAGTTGTTTGCAGAATCTACGTTCGTATTTCCAGAATTTCAAATACCTTGCTACAGGTTATATTTTACATTTCCTCTGTTTTTAAGCATGCTTTAAAAACAGAAGTAACTGTTTTCTCTTTTGTCCCAGGTTTGTTATCCTGAATAGCAAATATATTTGCAGTCTTTAATAAATACCTATTACTGTTTCAGTACCTCCATTCATTGAATGGCACTAAAAACTATATTCAGACCTGCACTTCCTGGTGGCTGAGGCGCTTCTGAAAACCCACTGCCAGCCAGCAGGCCAGCTAAAGACCCTCAGACCTGGGATGAATTCAAACAAGCCATAGCCTTGTTCCTGGCTACAGAGAGCCATTACCTGCCTCTCATTCCAAGGACAACCTTCCAGATTATGTATTCTAGTCTATACCTATCCATCAGTGACAGCTGCTCCATGTTTGGTAAACATAAATGTAAAACAACAACAACAAAAAAAGCGCCTCCCTTTAGCAATTTAATAGAATCTCTAATTAGGTATTTTAAGCAATTCACATTATATTGAAGTCTTCCTCGGAGGAGGAACCAGCTAACCCAGGCGCTCCCTGGACTAAACAGAGAGCAGCTATAGTTCACAGGCTGACTGCAAGGAAAATTGAACTGATAAACAGTTGTGGGAACAGCAAGTTGTTGTTTAACTCCTCTTAGGCTTGGAAAATGCCTTGGCCCTAACCCAGCTCATCAGAGCCAAAAGTACGGTAGTAACAGAGCAGTAAGGCTCATTGGTAACACTGGCACTGACATGATAGACCTTTCTCATCCTGACTATTTCAAGAAAGAATATTCCTCATCTTTTAGGCTTTTTGTGTTTCCAAAAGTTTGTGACAGAAGGAGTAATGGCCTAATCAGATGCTATGTGCAATTTGCTCAGCTTTGCCTATGTATGGTACATCTACACAGCGGGACAAAGGTGCGTGCTAGCCCACTCTAGCTAGTACGGATGATGGCACCAGTCAAGACAACAAAGCAGCTAGAAAAATTATCTGGAAACCTGGAGATGAAGCTCCTTCTCTGGTTGGCAGCACAGACTAAATAGGATGTTGCTGTGTCCTCGTCTCCGCTGCCACTTGTGCCAACAGGCGCACAGTTTGGCTGGCACATCAGCCCATCCTCCTTTTCCTGCACCACTGTCCCTCTAGTCCAACCTGCAGCTGACACTGGAGCTGTGGCCCTGACAGATCTTGCTGCCTAGTCTTGCAGTGGAGCAACTTCCTCTTGTTTTACCCCAGACTCTGTCCCCAAGAACAGTCAGCTGTGCTTGCTTTTTAGCTTTAGGATGGGGATAAACATCTGTAGATGAGATTTCTACTGAACCCAATGGTCAAAACTACATTTGAACTTCAGTCTCTGGCTAGGAACGTGAATGCAGGGCTTCCCAGTTGCGGTATCGCTGGTGGGGAAAGTACCTTCGCACTGGGTATAGCCCGTGAAGGAAGCTGCTGCTAGCACTGTAGTACTTGCTGCCACAGTATCAATAATAATAAATGTGTTCAGTGAACCCACAGCCTTGTGCACTCAACTCAAGCACACAGCCCTCTCCTTGCTGCACATGCCGAGCCATTGCGCCTTTTCTTTTGATCTCAAAGCAACACTTCCTGATTCACTCATAACTTGCAAACACCAAAGCCAACACCATGGGCCAACAGATGGCTTGCACAAACAAACAACTCTCCCCAAGCAGCTTCACATTCCTGTTCCACATGCAAACTAGAGTTGGTGGGAATCCAGGGGTACTTTATGCTCCACTGCTGCTAAGCAGGGAATAGAGCCAATCGACAGTGAAAGAAAAATGGGACTCAGCTCCCCACCTAAGGCAGCAAGGGATTACAGATTTGCACAACATTTGTTCTTCTACAGGTAGGTACTGCTCCACAACCTAGCTGTCCTGGTTTCACCTAAAGAAGTCAAAGATGACCAATTATACCATTTTCTGGTTTCTAGAGCATAAATTACTGCTATCAGAAAGGCAGGGAGAGGGGTTCTGTACTAGCAGAAGGGACAATGCCATGAGTGTCCTGTCCTGGTTTCAATTCCTGGTCCTGGTTTCCTTGTTCCCCCATGATGACAGGAGCTGGAAGTGCACTCAGGCCCTGGATCCAGGGGGCAGAGGTGGGGGTGAGGGGGGAAAGGGGGAAGAAGAGAAGAGAAAGAGGAGGACACATCAAGAGGAGGACATCTGAGCAACTCCTGCTATTCAAACAAAGAACTACCAGGTTATGTCTCAGTTGCAGAGGATGGGAAGGAGGACAGCAAGTTGTCACCACACATTCCCTCACCTCTTCCCGCTCCCCCCTATCCTGAAAGATTTCAGTGTGACATGATTGTAAACAGTTAAGGATTCCTCCAGTGCTAAGCCCACTACAAGCTGGGCCCACCCCCTCCCCCATTATGTACAATACATTCACCAACAACAGAAATTTATTTAAAAAGGCAACAGGTTAAATTCTGTAAACTGGATCCAGCTCCAAAACACACACGTTAATACTACAAGTAAAATTCCATCATCGTCCTCTTCCACCCTGAAAAAATATACCTGAGTTTAGCAGTCAATGAAAGTTTCAAACCCCACCCCCACCCTCCCCACCCAAAAAAATCCCTCAAACCCTGAACGAGACGCAGTCTCCAGGCATGGAAAGCCACCAGTTTCGGATGCTTCCCCCTCGGTGGCGAGCCAGCTGCTTGGCTGGCTGGGGGCCCAGCACCACTCCAGGTTTCTGACGCAAAAGCCATTGCGGCACCATGTTCCACGGCTCCAGGAAGCTACGTGCTGCTTGGGTGAGGGGAGGGTGGGAGGAAGGCCTCTGCCCTTCCTCCTCCCTGTCCAAATCACGTGTGGCTTTCATCTTATTGAGGGTCTTCCTTCCGTGGACTAGCTCTGGAAGAGGAAGAACAAGAGTTGGAGAGTTTTACAGGCAGTTTTATAATGAAACAGCCTCATGATTTCATGTAACTTGTTCAAAGCTAGCAATATTTCTCAGCCCAGGCTATGCTTTATAGTCAGCTATGACAACAGAGACATCCCCAATTCCCACTACATAACAGTGGGTTCACTTCCCAGCTTTTTCAAATGCTTCCCACTCTTAGCAAATACTTCACTCCTTTAAACGATGGAGCGAGAAAAGGACGGCATCTGAACCCTGTTCTCTTCGGTGGCCCTTACTTGATCCAGAGGCAACGCTGATGGTTTTTGTGGTGTCAGCTCTTCCCGGGACATGGTTGCTGTAGGCATCTTCGGGAAGGGAACTTGAGCCTGATGCATTTGCATTCTGGAGCCAGGTTGAACGGAGAGAGAATTTTAGCACATAAACATCAAGAATAAATCCCACCTACTCAGCTGAACGCAGGTCATTTACATACAAGCATGCATTTCTTCTTTCTGGCTTTCCCTCAAAACACAAACTTTAAGTCCATACCCCTCTCCTCCAACAGACGACTTAGTTGTAAGCCAAGTCTCCCGAATACTGGAAGAGGGGAATTCCTTTATTTCCTTTTTCTCCACACCTCCCTTACAAGGTAACAAATTACTGTTCAAGTCATGTTGCAACTATGACAAAACAGTAACAGTAGCAGCATATTTATATAACCTGAACACGGAATTTTTGGAATAGTAGAATTTTCCACTTAGGAATAAAATGTGATATGCAAAATCTCAGCGAGAATTAATTTGCTTTGAGGGAAATTTGAAATAGAGAAGAGCAGCAGAGGAAGAGGAAGGGAACAAGGAGGCGACATTAAAACGACTGGAGTCGGCAACAGGAGGCTAACTTCCACTTGAGTTAGCTACTCTGCTCCAATTTGAAAAAGATGCAATGAAATTCTTGCAGAACAGTAAGAGCTCATTTGCTTAGGAGATGTGCAACACTGGACAACACATTAAGAAAATACTGTCAGATAAAACAAAACTGTGGTACAGGTATGGACTGGACAGGCTAACAGGTCTCCATGACTGCTAATGTTGTTTGTTTTAAAAAGCTGCAATGAGACTCTCCAGCTTGTGGAAAGGTCTAAGAGAGTCCTTTTTACTTCAAGGGCCTATGAGTAACCTGTTCGCCTTTCAATAGCACCTGCCAGCTCCTCCCATTTCAAGTCTGGGCCTTTCAAGGATATCCAACACTTCTTGTCACCGTGGTATCACCTCCCCTCCCACCTCACCTTCTTGCCGAAAACACATTCTTACCCCGATGATCTATACAAGTCCTGGGGTGGCCCCCCCATGCCACCTCCACTGCCTCTCTGCTCCATCAGCAAGGCCTGAAAGTGACCTATGTTCTCCTCTCGGCAGCGGTACAGGGGTCCCTCTTGAGAGAGGCCATTGGCCTGCCCAGGGGCTGGGTGATGAGACAGGTGAGCGTTCACGGGTGATCCGTATGTCCTGGGCTGGAAATGACTGGCCGGATGCCGGGATGCATAAGGAGAGCCAGTTTGTAGCATTACCCCATGGGGAGGGAAAGCCGACGGGCCAAATCCCATGCCCGAACCCAGGGGTGGTGGGGGAGCTCCGTAGAGGAACTCTCCTGCTGCCACCGAGCTTTGCCTCTTCGTGGCTGCATTGTGGTTGTCCAAATCAAGGAACTCTTTGGGGCTCTCCGGCCTTTCCTGGGATTCTTCGGACTTCTCATCTTCAGGCCCCAGATCCTGCCCGTCACTTGGAGAAACCTCTTTGGCACTCGCTACGTCCATGCGGTTTGGAGAAGCCAGGCCAGCGCTCAGTGCCTCACAGCCCTGCAAGCTGCTCATGTTCCCCCGGTCGGAGAAAGGAGGTCTGGCCAGAGGCGGGTGAGTGGGTGGGTGCCCACTGGGACTGGCCTGGGGATGAAGAGGCCTCTGCCAGTCCGAGTAGCCTTGTGGACAGGCGTAGTACGGTGGTCTCTGGTAGTGGTGGTAGGAAGGCTGAGGCTGGGGCTGGGAGGAGGATGGCATGCTCTGGGGGGGGCGGTACCGGGGGAAGACGCCAGGATGGGTGTTGCTTGGCTGGAAGCCCCGTGATGAAAAATGCTGCGGATGAGACACCGGTGGCGGCTTCCCACCCATCACAGGGCTGAACCCTTGCAGGCCTGGGTTGATGTGGTAACGCGCGGCTGAATTTGGGTATTCCAAACCGGGCATGTAGAGAGGGTGGAACTGGTTTGGGGCGGCCCCCATGGAGCCTGTGTCCATGCCGGGGAGGCCGGTGCTCTGCCCCATACAAGGCACGGTTGCGTCGGGCAAAGCCTTCCCCCCACTGCAGAGGGGCTTCTCCAGCAGGTTGGCGGCTAGCCCCTTCCCCTCTGTGCTGCCTGAAGGCCCTTCGCCCACAGCCCCGTTCTCGGGCATGGGCCCCCCTCTCTCAGAGGTGGGCATGAGATCCCTCACGCAGCCCTGGGCACCTGGGCCAGCGTAGGCGCTCTCGGCCGGCCACGCACTCTTGCTCTGCGCTGCCTTCAGGTCGTTTTTCGCTCCGGAGCCGTCTCCTTCCCCATCCGGGGGCAAGGTGCGCCGGGTGCACTCCATGGGCAGCGGGGGCTTGGGATGAGGTAGGAGTTTGGCGTAGGCCCCGTCGGGAATGCTGATGCACTGAGCCTTCTCGTCCAAGCTGGTGGGCGGCTCCACTGGAAAGAGAGAGGGAAAATGTTGCTTTTGGGTCTAATTTTGGAAAGCAGCCCTCCCTGCCCAACATACATGCATTACTCACGCTCACCCAAAGCAAATTTGCCAAAGAGTAATTCCTGCTAATTTAACCAGATGTACCAAAATAACCTCACAATATCTACTTCCAGGAGGATGGACAGCAGCCTCTGTCATTCTGGGTCTCTTTAACATCCTCTTTGCTGCTGGCCCCAGCAAAAATTTGCTGGGCAGCACGGTCTGACAAATCCCTAACATTCAGATGGAGAAAGCATCCCACGTTCTTAACTGTGTAAAAATGGAAGAGAAAGAGAGTGATTTTCTAAAATCAGAAAGCTGTTTTCACCAAAGAGCAGGTAAGTACTGCAAAGTCTCCAATAACCCGTCCTCTACTCAATCTTCTCTACAGGGCAGTCAGGGCAAGGCACTAGACAACTGCTAGGCAGATTCTGCGGGGTTGTGGCCTCCCTCCCACTTCCGACATTAAAATCTTTCTTTCAGAGATCTTTTAACGGTTCTGAAAAGTGTTTTTGCAAAGTCAGGCAACCTTTAATAGCTTGTTCTTTTAAAACTCTTAAAATTGCTCATAAGGTTGCAGCTCCCCTGAAAAGATGGCACATATGGACTGAATCCATAGGATTGCCTTAAGATACAGACCCACAATGGTTTGCAATCCACCAGTAAATCGCGCCTCCACCAGACCAACACTGCGCACGTGGGTTTGGTCTGACACAGGGGTGCGCAGAGACTGCCTAATGGTGACACAGAGTGGGGAGAGACCACAGGATCCCCATAAGAGTGAGCTAACAAGCGGAGCTAAAAACAGCTTGATTTCAGGCTGCGTTGCCCCTTCTGGTCCACAAACCCTGCCTACCCACAGATTGGGCAAAAGCACTACCACATACCAAGATACTACAAAGCCCATCACAGCCATATTTCTACCAGCTGTGATTTGGAGATGCGGCTACTCTGCCCTGTAATCACTCAAAGACCTCCCCCAGTCTCTGCTCTATATCTAGTGCAGTTAAATGATAATGAGTTTTAAGCAACACCACACAAGGAAAGAGTTTCCTCTTAGTGCAAGAGGCACAAGGGATTGATCAAAAACCTTGTATCTTTTATCTCTAGTTTACCAGCTAGAATTAATGAAAAAACCTTTTTTTGATCTCTAGGGTTTTTTGATCTCTATTCTAGGTTTGTTTTATTTAAGGTTTTTTTGATCTCTAGTTTTCCAGCTAGAATGAATGAAATTCAACTAGAAAGAAACTTGTGGTGGCACATATGACACACTGCCATCCCATCTAAACTGACATGGCTGTTCAGTGGGTTTTTGGCACTCCTCTTTCTTGAGGATTTTGAGATGTTAAGCTCATGAGGCACATGTGCATTTCAGAAGAGAAGCCATACTGACATATACCAGAAGAACTGTATTTAAACCATTTATTCACATGTCTTCTCTCCTTACCTAACTCTTTGCAGATTCAATTTTTATATTAACTCCAAATGAACTCTAGAAGCATTACAGACTATGCTTTGCATTTGCCCCCAGTGGCAGACTGATACCTGCCAGCTATAACTGGGACAGAAAAGACCTTTGGCAGGTTACTGTTGGTGCCCTGGCAGTCAAACAAAAAAAGTCTTAGAAAAATCCTAAGCGATGGCTGAAGCAGAAAATATATTCCAGTTCAGATTTTAAAAAAACAAAACAAAACAGGCATGCCTAAGAACTATGCGTCCACAACTATTTAATCAAGAATTTAACTCTTTTCTAAAACTAAACTTGTTTTGTTGCTGAGCCTCATCCAGTGTTTAAAACGCAGTCAGGTAAGTCTGAAAGTCAGGGCATATATTTCACTTCTCTAGCAGTGCAAGTCCAAATAAAGTCACGTTTGCAGAGAAAGCTTTTGCGTATCTGCAACACCACTAAGTTTGGGACCCTAAGAGTTTAGAGGCCAAGAGCAGCAATGTTTTCCCCAACAAAACTGGTCGGGGGGTGCTCCCAGCCCTGTGGTGCAGCTCCTCAGTCCCCAAGGCGCACGTGTGGCTGTTTGTGAGGTGCTGCTGTACGCACAACAAACAAGCGCAAGACAGCGTGAGGATTCAGGGAGCTGCATCCGCTGTTCAGATCCTGAATGGATCTTGGTAGCAGCGGGAACAAGAGAAGCCTCTTGATGGCTTCCAGCCAACGCCTCTCTCCAGAAAGAGGCAATCAGTGGGCAGAAGGTCCACCAGAGCATGGGAAAACATGGTGCCATAAAGCAGGGCGAGTAACAGATGTGCGAGAGCAACAATGGTGAGGCGGGTAACACACATGGGCAGGGAAAGTGCAAAGCTACAGGCAGGGGCTGCCTGCCCTGGCAGATGAGCTCAGCTTGCGAGGAGTTACCTTGGTTGATCTCCGGCTCCATGGTCTGACCAGTCTGCTCCTGCGAGCTCCCGTTCCCCACGATGGATTTCGGGGGCTGCACGCTGGCAGACGCCACGTGAGCCAGTTGCGGAAAGGGGCCAGGGAGGTGCGGGGGGGGTGGCTGGCGAGGGTGGTAAGGCACACCCGGCGGGCACACGCGGGATGACAACTGCTGCATAGCAATCATCTCTGGACTGTCCATCATGGAGTCCCCACCCTGGCACCCTCTTTGAACCTGAGGTGGCCCCCCAAACAGAGAGGCTGGCGGCTGTGGCATCCGCTGGCTGGTGGCTTTCCCAGGTGGTCTGATATATCCTGAGGGAGGAACCCCATGAGGTAGGAAATTTGATTGCTCAGTCCACTGGCTGGGAGGCAGAGGGGGCCCTTAGGGCCCGGGG